GGGGGGGGGGGACGCAAGCCACCCGCTACATCCGTCTGTCTATCTGTGTCTGGATGGCTGGCCTGCTCACGACACAGGCATCGAGGATCTCTATGTGTGAGCGGGCAGCTCGATAATCACACACACACATTGAGGCATCGACAGTTACTCACATATCCCTCCATCCTATAATCTTGGGCCCATGCAGGTGCAACTACCAATTTCCCTATGTCTTGGGCCTTATCTTATTCAAGAGGCCTGGTGGGTCGTATGCATACGCATACCGAAATACACGCCCATCAATGCGGTCATCGTGCAGGTGACCCTGACGAGATCTGGTACGGCCAGCCGGACGGCACATTCGTCAAGGGCGACCAGGAGCTGAACGGCAATGGGTGCAGAGACGTGGCGCTGGCCGACTTCAACGGCGACGGATGGCTCGACGCGTACGCAATACGCACATATCCACACCCACATGAGTTATCACATCCACGTGTGAATGCTGCCTTTGTGTGTGTGTGCGCAGGTATGTGGGCAACGGCGCAGAGGAGTATTGGTTCTGGCCCAAGCTCGACGACGTGTTCGACCTCATTCTCTTCAACGACCAGACAGGCAGACTCGTCGACACCGGGCAGAGACCTCTTGTCAATGGGACTTCCAGGTACGAGAACACACCAACACACCAACAAACACTGAGCTTTGTCCATTTATGTCTGAAATGTGTCATTAGGTCGATCCTAACGGGCGACTTGGACCACGACGGCGATTTGGATCTGGTTGTAGGGAGGGGGCCTGACATCTACAGCGCAGTGCTGCTGAATGACGGCAAAGGCGTCTTCTCCGTGCACCAGTTCATTAGCGCCGACAACTGGCTGCTCTACCCATTCCTGCCGGGGATACCCGACGGCCGCGGTACGTCTCGTCTCTCTCCCCCGCTTGCCTTCATACACGCACATGGGAGGTGTTTGTCGGTGTGTGCAGATGCCGGCACCGTCTCGGGGGGTGGGATGGCTGATTTGAACAATGATGGCTTCAGCGACCTTGTCCTCGGGACACAAATAAGGTCAATATGGCTGAATGACGGCACGGGCACGTTCAGCGACACCGGGCAGTACTTCAAGGCCGCTAGCTTTGGCAGGTAGGTAGATACACACGGCAGGCAGGCAGGCAGGCAGGTATTCGGTGAATTTGGTGTGGTGTGTGCAGGGAGCCAGCCCTTGCTGACTTTGATGGCGACGGAGACAGGGATGTCTACCTTGGTCGAGCAGGTCAGCAGAGCATTGCCCTTGCTCTCCCCACCAAACACGCCAGCGGCTCCTGTGTGGTCTGTGGCTGTTATGATTGTGTAGGCTTCCCTGACCTGGACTTCTTTGCTGACGGCTGCAGGCCTTCTGACAAAGACGGGTGGGTGGGTGCATCAACACGCAAGTCACTCAGACACACAGACAGGCAGGCTCCTCTGTGTGCCTGTAGGCTGTACATAAACGACGGCAAGGCGAATCTGACCAAGGTGCAGGAGTACTTCGAGTGGCCGTCGTGGTACGCCCTCAGCGCTGATTTCAACAACGATGGTACGAGAAGAAACAGCAGCCCAGTGTGCGTCAGTGGTTTCGTGTGCATGTCTCTTGTCTTCTCACTCACAGGGTGGCCAGACGTCCTTCTCGGGGCTGGCCTCTACGCAGAACGTAAGTATCGACAGATTGACAGACAGACAGACAGACAGACAGCCGGGGGCGGCCGGACACACACTCTCATTCTCTTTCTCTGTGTTTGTTGTGGCGCTCGCTTTCGCTCAGCCGTGGGCGACCCATTATTTCGAGCCACAGGCATCCCGGGGCAAAAAGGTCACTTCACATTCAACACACCCGTCGATACCATACCGGAGACATCCCTATGGTCTGCCACTTTCTGTTTGTTTCTGTCCGTGTGCAGGTGCGCCCAATGTGTTGCTCCTGAATGACGGGCAGGGTCGGCTGTTCGACAGTGGGCTGAGATACGGCGAGAAGCGGACATACGGCCTCTCGGTGGGGGTGCTCCCGTGCTCCCTCGCACCAGACGCAGAAAACCCATGCACTTTTGAATTAGGTGAGCAAACACACACACACATCCACCAATCCCTCCATCCGTGTGTATCCCATGTCTGTGTCTGTCTTTGCTTTTGTGCAGACGAGATTGACGTGTATACCGTCAAGCAGCCGACCCCCCCAAAGCCAGACAACAAGCCCTCCATCCCCCACCCCCTCAGCAAAGCCCACAGAGTGACCTACTCGCCGTCCTACAAGCTGGAAGTCGAGAAAGGCCAGCTCTTCGACACCAACGCGCCCATTCCAGTCCCCGACCCCAAGAAGATCATCTGCGAGACCTTCTGGGCGCCGTCGGTGCTGTTTGAGAAGGACGAGCGGCAGGACCCCCCGAAGGGCCGGGGGTTCCCGCCCGAAGAGGCGCCGTTCGATGAGATGTTTAAGATTGACGATCTGGGGGGTGACGTGGACGTGCGGACGACGGGCAATGTGTGATGTGTGTCTTGGCGCGTCTTTGTGTGTGAGGGGGAGGGGGGAATGGAAGAGGGTAAGTGGACGAGTGGGCTTTTTGTGCATTAGTCTCGGCCGTGTGTGCGCGCGTGTCTTTATCACGTGTGTCGTATGAGAGAGAGTTCATGCCGCTTGATTGCACCCAAATTGACGGAAGATTGCATCCACTAGAATAGCCAATGGGTGGGTGCTCCGTCTCTCTCAACGGCGTCTGTCTGTCTCTATTTCTCAGTCCGATGTTGCTGGCATGTCTGCCGTGTGGCTTGGGAAGGAGAGGGATGGAGAGTTAGTAGGTCTGCTGGTATGCAAGTAAGATGATGCGGTGTGGTGTGGTGTGGTGTGGTGTGCTATGGTGGTGTCACTGGTGTGTTTATATGCATAGAGATGGATGCCTTTGCCTGGACAGCCCGAACGCGGCTGTGTTTAGTACATTACACTGATCGTACTCATTATGGGGCATATCGTGTGGGGGGGGGGGGGGG